GTCTTCCTCAGTTTATTTCATGAGTGTTCTATAGTTTTCTGGGGACAGATCCTTTGCCTCTTTGGTTTATTCCTAGGTATCTTATGGTTTCTGGTGCAGTTGTAAACAGGATCAATTCCTTAATTTCTCTTTCTTCTGTCTCATTGTTAGTGGATAGAAATGCAACTGATTTCTGTGCATTGATTTTACATCCTGATGCTGAATTCCTGTATGAGTTACAGCAATTTTGGGATGGGGTCTTTTGGGTTTTCCACAAAGAGTGTCATGTCATCTGTGAAGAGTGAGAGTTTGAGGACTTCTTTGCCGATTCAGATGCCTTTTATTTCTTTTTATTGTCTGATTGCTGAGGCTAGGACTTCTAGTACTATGTTGAACAATAGTGGTGAGAGTGGGCATCTTTGTTGTGTTCCTGATTTTAAGGGAAAGGCTCTCAGCTTTCCCCCATTGAGAATGATACTCACTGTGTGCTTTTTTGTAGATGGCTTTTATGATATTGAGATATGTTCCTTCTATCCCTACACTATGCAGTTTTAATCAAGAAAGAATGTTGTACTTTGCCAGATGCTTTTTCTGCATCTACTGAGAGGATCATACGGTTCTTGTCCTTTCTTTTATTTATGTAGTGTATTTGATTGATTTGTGGATATTCAACCATCCTTGCAGCTCAGGAATAGATCCCACTTGGTCGTGGTGAATAATCCTTTTAATGTCCTGTTGGATCCTGTTGGCTAATATCTTAATGAGAATTTTTGCATCCATGTTCATCAGAGATATTGGTCTGTAATTCTCCTTTTCAGTGGGATCTTTATCTGGTTTTGGGCTCAAGGTAGTCCTAGCCTCATAGAAAGAATTTGGAAGTTTTCCTTTGATTTCTATTTTTTTGAAACTGCTTTGGAAGAATAGGTATTAATTCTTTAAATGTTTGGTAGAATTCCCCTGGGAAGCCATCTGGCCCTGGGCTCTTGTTTGTTGGGAGATTTTTGATTACTGATTGAATTTCCTTGCTGGTTATGGGTCTGTTCAGGTTTTCTATTTCTTCCTGGTTCAGTTTTGATAGTTTATATGTTGCTAGGAATGCATCTATTTCTTCTAGGCTGCCTAATTGGTTGGCATATAGTTGCTCATAATATGTTCTTATAATTGTATTTCTTTGGGTGTTGGTTTTGATCTCTTTCATTCATGATTTTATTTGGGTCCTTTCTCTTTTATTTTTGATAAGTCTGGTTTAGGGGTTAATCAATCTTATTAATTCTTTCAAAGAACCAACTCCTAGTTTTGTTGATCTATTCTACTGTTCTTCTGGTTTCTGTTTCATTAATTTCTGCTCTAATCTTTATTATTTCTCATTTCCTGCTTGGTTTAGGATTTATTTGCTATTCTTTCTCCAGCTCCTTTAGGAGTAAGGTTAGGTTGTATATTTGAGACTTTTTTTATTTTCTTGAGAAACGCTTGTATTGCTATATACTTCCCTCTTAGGACCACCTTTGCTGCATCCCAAAGGTTTTGGACAGTTGTGTTCTCATCCTCATTTGTTTCCGTGAATCTTTTTAATTCTTTTTTAATTTCCTGTGTTCACCCAATCATCTTTAGTAGGATGCTCTTTAACCTTCAACTATTTGAGTTCCTTCCAAATTTCCTCTTGTGATTGAGTTCCAGTTTCAAAGCATTGTGATCTGAAAATTTGCAGGGAATAACCCCAGTGTTTTGGTACCGGTTGAGACCTGATTTGTGACCAAGTATGTGATCTACTCTGGAGAATGTTTCATGTGCATTCGAGAAGAATGCGTAGTCTGTTGCTTTAGGATGGGATGCTCTGAATATATCTGTGAAGTCCATCTGGTCCAGTGTGTCATTCAAAGCCCTTGTTTCCTTATTGATCTTCTGCTTAGATGATCTGTCCATTGCCGTGAGTGGGGTGTTAAAGTCCCCTCCTATTACTGTATTATTGTCAATGTGTTTCTTTAATTTGGTTATGAATTGGTTTATATAATTGGCTGCTCCCATGTTGGGGCATATGTATTTATAATTGTTAGATCTTCTTATTGGATAGACCCTTTATGATATAGTGTCCCTCTTCAGCCCTTATTACAATCTTTGGTTTAAAATCTAATTTGTCTGATAGGAGGATTGCTACCCAAGATTTCTTTTGATGTCCATTAACGTGGTAATTGGTTCTCCACTCCATCACTTTCAGTGTAGAGGTGTCTTTGGGTCTAAAATGAGTCTCTTGCAGACAGCATATTGATGAGTCTTTCTTTTTTATCGAACCTGAAACCCTGTGTCTTTTGGTTGGGGCATTGATTTAGCCCATTTACGTTCAGAGTAACTATTGAAAGACAGGAATTTAGTGCCATTGCTATTACCTGTAAAGTTCCTGTTTTTGTGTATGGTCTTTGTTCCTTTCTGGTCTTCGTTATTTTTGGGCTCTCTCTTTGCTTAAAGGATCCCCTTTAATATTTCTCACAGGGCTGGTTTAGTGATCACAAATTCTTCAGTTTCTGTTTGCCCTGGAAGCTCTTTATCTCTCTTTCTATTCTGAATGACAGCCTTGCTGGATAAAGTATTCTTGGCTGTGTATTTTTCTCGTTTAGTACCCTGTATATATCATGCCAGCCCTTTCTGGCCTGCCGGGTCTCTGTGGATAGGTCTGCTGCCAGTGTAATGTTTCTACCCTGGGAGGTTACCAACTTCCTGTCCTGAGCTGCTTTCAGCATTTTCTCTTTGCCTGAGATTTGCAAGCTCACCATTATATGTGAAGTGTTTGACTTCATTTTATTGGTTTTGAGATCCTGCACGTTTCTTAAAATGAGTTTATTTTGCCAGTAAGTCCTCAGAGAAGTCAGGGATGTTTTTTTAATCTCTTTTGAAGTAATTGTGTTTCAGATTAAAATGCTAATAAGCATTTTCTAGTGTCTTGGAAATGAAAGTTAATGCTCTTTACTGTCTTTAAAAAATTTTATTTATTTATTTGACAGAGACACAGCGAGAGAGGGAACACAAGCAGGGGGGAGTGGGAGAGGGAGAAGCAGGCTTCCCGTGGACCAGGGAGCCCAATGTAGGGCTCGATCCCAGGACCCTGGGATCATGACCTGAGCCGAAGGCAGAAGCTTAACGACTGAGCCACCCAGAGGCCCCTCTATCTTTAAAAATCCTAATGCTTGTATTTTCTCACTAAAATAATGGTATTGGGGTGCCTGGGTGGCTCAGTTGGTTAAGCGACTGCCTTCGGCTCAGGTCATGATCCTGGAGTCTCGGGATCGAGTCCCGCATCGGGCTCCCTGCTCGGCGGGGAGTCTGCTTCTCCCTCTGACCCTCCCCCTCTCATGCTCTCTATCTCATTCTCTCTCTCAAATAAATAAAATCTTTAAAAAGTAATGGTATTAATTTTCTTTTGGTCTCTGAAATTTTGTAAACCTTATTGGGTGTGTTTCTCGGAGTTGGAAGTGCCGTCCCTGTAGGCTGTGGCCTGGCAGTAGGGGCAGGGAGTGTCCCGTGCGGCAGCTGCTTGCTTGTCTCCTCTTCCTTTACCACTTTCACCCTCAGCATCGTCCAGCCTCAGTGGCCTTTTCCTCACACCTAGAGAAGAGGAAATTTTCGAGAAGTAAAGAGTAGGGGCGCCTGGGTGGCTCAGTCATTAAGCGTCTGCCTTCAGCTCAGGTCATGATCTCAGGGTCCTGGGATGGAGTCCCGCGTCGGGCTCCCTGCTCAGCGGGGAGTCTGCTTCTCCCTCTCCCACTGCTCCTCCCTCCCTCTGCTCCTCCCCACCACTTGTGTGCACTCTCTCTCAAATAAACAAAAATCTTTAAATAAAAATTTCTTAAAAAAGTAAAGAGTAGAGGTCATAGTGTCCGTTCATCTTCCAGCCTTGAGCTGAATATTTAGGATATGGGGAAAGCACCCTGTGGCCATGGTGGAGCCTGCATCTCTGCTGCTTTGTTGAGTCCTTTGGGTTTGGTTCCCAGAAGCCTGGGCAGAAACTGCTCTCGCAGAGGAGATGGTAGCCCTAGTGAGTATCTGAACAGGGCCCCTGTTCACACTCAGTGTGCGGCCCTGAGCCTAGGGTGCCTGCTGGGGCTACCTGCCCGGTTCCCATTGAGGTAACGGGTAAATTGGTGCAGGGAAGGGCTTTCAAGTGGTGGCGTGGATGGAGGCATAACCAGCTGTCCCAGGAAGTGGATTTCACGTTGTGAATTGTGCTGTACTTGGTAACCGCTGAGATTAGTGATCAAGTGCAGGGCGTCCCAGGAGCAGAGCTAGGTTCATCCCAGCGTTACTCATTATTTCATACAGTACCCAGTAAGCACTCAATAAATGGTAGATAACTTGTCTAGAGAAAACTTAAAGTTGTGTAGAAAGTAAAATAATATCAAAGAATGATTTCTCACTTTGAAGAAATGTAGTTTGGATGTAAATATTTGTCATTATTCTTAGAACCGCAGTATTTTTTTAATTGAAATGTTGATGTTAACTTTTTATTAAAATGCATAATGGATTAGCTGATTTAGGATATTTGATGTAAGAACAAATCAAAACGTCACTTCATACTTACGACCTTTCTGTCCTGACATTTGGTAAGTTTCTTGTGATGTCAGAAGACTCAAATCCACTTTGTCTTTTGGTTCTTGAGACTGGCTTTATTACATCCAGAGCCGCAGTAAACTGGGCAGCACTAGACTTCCATGGGTAGATGGTGATATTTCTACAAATACCCTCTGTTTACATAAAATCACTCCCCTTATCCCTTTTGGATTTGCTTGACTATCATGAAGGAGCAAAATGAGATTGTTAAATGGAAGTTCCCACTTCAAGGTCTTTTTGACCATTTGTCCAGGTATAGCATACTGTGAACGACTGTCCCAAGCCAGACTTTCTAGATCCCATTGCGTGTAAAGCTCTCTGTGTCCCACAGTTTGGAATCAAGTGTATTTCTGCTCTGTGAGAACTAATGTTCTGGTTGGGAAAAGGGCACAGGAGAAATGGAGGGATTGGTAATGGTCCTCTGTCTCTCAAATGTCCAATACATTATACCAGCACGGTTCGCGAGCGCCTTCGTGTGCCAGTCCCCGTACTCCGGAGCGGCTGTGTGCTCAAGAACTGGATTTGAAACGGACCTTCCAGAGGTGGTAGAAAAGGTGTGAAACGTATTCCAGCCCACATGTGCTGCCACTTGAAGGGCTGCCCTCCAGAGCGCCAGAAGGCATGTTAGGGGCCAGCAGATGGCTTCTGGTGCAGTGCTGGATGCTCGGGGGAAGGGAGCTTCATCTGGGCATAGGGAAACCAGCCGGAGAGTGGCTGGCATTGGGCGGTGGGGTGCAGAGGGGATGTAAAGGGTGCATCCCTTGCCAGCATGTTGGTGAGCTGAGGGGTGACTAGGCCCCGGGAGGGAGACAGGGAGCCCCGATACCTTGTGAACCAGTAGTGCTGGGTTAGACTTGGACACTGCTGAAATGAGCTTCCCTACCAGCAATTTTAGACTCCAGATCTTATTTTTCACCTAGTAGAAAATGCCCACTGAGGAGTGTTCCAAATTGTGTGCTTCGAAGCATGCTGAATGTACCATTTCCGTGTGCTGGGCCAGCAGTGTGCTTGTCTGTTGACGGAACATTTGCATGACCCCGCGTCACATGCCGTCCTTTACTCCACCCCCAGTGACTCCTGGTCCTTGTCTAGGTCCTTACAAGCTGTGGCGTGTCCTTTCACAACTTGGACAGACACTCTGCCTCGAGAGGGAGAGGGGTTTGTTTAAATGGAGGATGGGAATGTGAATGTCTGAATGATTTGGGTGCCTGGAAGCATGACAGACTCAGTGTCATTACATTCATCATCATCACCTTTAAGCCCAAGACTAACGGTAATTGTGGTGAAGAAACGAGTGAACGCCAGATTTTTTGCTCAGTCTGGAGGAAGACTTCAGAATCCACTTCCTGGGACGGTTATTGACGTAGAAGTTACCAGACCAGAATGGTAAGTTCTGTGCGGTTACATGAAGATTGTTTTCTGCTTTATCAACTTCAACACGTTTATTCTTTCTTCTCTTTCTGGTAAATACTAAAGTCTTCAATTAGTTTGATCCCATAATACTACTAAAGCCTATGATTTGTTCATGTCTGAAATGGTAAACCGGTTTCTCTGCAGTGTTCTTTGGGGGAAGAGGGTTATTGTCTGTGGTACTAATTATACATACAGAGGGTAAGAACTGCTGCTGTAGATTGCTTTTGTATGTTTTTAACATGTAACCTTATCCTCAGATTGTTGTTCCCTAGTAAAACTTTTTAGATCTGAAATGCTTTGTTGTCGTCCAGAGGTCAAAAAGTTGCATTTGAAACACAATTGCAGATAAGTGGCTTCTGAGTAAACAAAACTTTTTATGTAACTCGGAGCTACACTTTGCCATAGGAAAGCCAGCTAGCTAGGACATCCACGGGCACAGGGGGGCCGCGGGGTGATGCTGTTCGCACCCAGGGGTGCAGCTGTCACGTGCTGAAGCTTGCTGGCTTCTCGCAAACTCTTCTATGGTGTGAGGTCTAAGGTGCTGTAAATCATGCACGTGGCAGCTCATCGGTCAGTCTGGGTTAACGCCATCCTCAGGAGAGTGCACTGTTAGGACCATTCCTCTTTTTCAGCGTGATGGAGCTTTTGAAAAGGCAGCTTTAATCAGGGTAAAGTGCGGGCTTCGGTGCAAAGCTACTAATGTGGAATGCCCTTCCTGCACAGACCTTGGGTGAATGCGGCTTCACTACGCTAACTTCATGTAGATAAACGATAGTACAGATTTTTGGTTCTCTTGAATCAGTTGTGTTAGCGACAGGGAATGGGAATTTCCATGTTGAGATGCGTTATCTGGGATTTCTGTCTTTTTCTCAGGCAGGTGTTAGTTATGGCAGTGCTTCGGAAGGATGCTACTCGGGGGCGGGGGGGAAATCAGCTGAGGGAGACAGAGTGGCTAAGATACTAACGTAGTGAGTTCCTTTCCTGCAGGACCTTCTAACCGGTCAGAGTGACCCCACTGCGCTCCCTACTAACACTCCTGGTATGCTCACCGCAGCTCAGGGCTAGCGTTGACCTGGAGACAGCTGATGGAAACGGACTGGGTAAAACCCAAGTTGAATTATGAAGTGTGGGAACATTTCATTACTTCTTACCAGATGCTATTTAGAACTTAGCTGCCGAGGCTCTGCCTGCGTCAGGAGAAGCTCCCCTCTAGGGCTGCAGTCCCGTTAGCTGCCAGCACTCTGGACGCCAATGTGCTTGAGCCGGGAACTAAGACTCGGACTCCGACTCTCTTGTGAGTTCTCTGCAGTTTTAGGGCAAGTGGTTTCGTGTGTCTGAAACCCTTCTGCTTCTAAAACACTAATAATCTGTTGTAGATCAACCGTGGTGTTCTGATTTGTCTAGTTTCAGTGAACCTAGCAAGTTGCACGGGTAATTTCCTTATAGCTTTATTAGGTCAGGTGACCGTATCTCTGGATCAGTGTGTTCCCTGCTACCCAGACAGTGGGAAAAACGGATGTCCTGTTCCTCCGTTTGCAGTCCTGTTTCTGTCTGCTTTACCATTTGGGTCCTGCACTAGTTCTCTTTCTGTCCCTGGAGGTTCTCAAGTCCTCTGAGAACCTGCTTTGCATCCTTAATGATTAAAGTGAAGTATGTTTTTGTTAAGTAACAGTGGGAACAGCAAGAGGGGGAAGGTTCTGTGGTAAAAGCATATCTTGGGAACGACAGTGCCTGAAACAAGAGCTGCTCTAATTTTCCCCGCTGCTGCTGCCCTCCAGGACCTCTGTGCACCCCAGCGTACCCTGCGGGGTGCAGGCCGCCAGCCGTGCGTGGCTTGAGGATACCACTGTGACTGGCAGCCCGAGCACATATTGAATGCCCTAGGGCATCAGTGACATGTATTTAAAATCTAAGGAGTAGTGGTTTCTGAAACGTCGGTCACACAGGCATTCCAGAATTGTCCATGAGCAGCAAGTGTTCTGGACTTGAAGGAAGCACATTTCATTCTGAAGAGGTTAGCTTCCATTAGAATACGGGATCTTTTCACTGTAAGAAACGGGACCCGTGCGAACTTCCGCTTTCAGACAGATAAGCCTCCCTTCCATGTGGCTTTTCTCTTGGAATTCCAGGTATGATTTTTTTATCGTGAGCCAGGCAGTGAGAAGTGGCAGTGTCTCTCCCACGCACTATAACGTCATCTACGACAGCAGTGGCCTGAAGCCAGACCACATTCAGAGGCTCACGTACAAGCTGTGTCACGTCTACTATAACTGGCCAGTAAGTGTGTCTCCCTGGGGACCTGGGCTCACGTCTGTGAGCTTCGCTTTTCAGAACAGGAGTTGCTCTGTTTTCAGAGGCTTTTCTAGTGGATACCGAGGGGAGTGATGGAGGAGAGTAACAGCTCTGTGTTTCTTCCACTCAAGGGCGTCATTCGCGTCCCTGCTCCTTGCCAGTACGCCCACAAGCTGGCTTTCCTCGTGGGCCAGAGCATCCACAGGGAGCCCAACCTGTCCCTGTCCAACCGCCTCTACTACCTCTGACCCGCGGGACGAGACGACGTGCAGCCGTTCCTTCGTTTGACCTCGTAGCTTCGGGGTTTTTTTTTAAGCTTTTATTTTTTTTTTAGCTGTTTATCTTTCTAGATATGAAACTTGGAAAGGGAATTAGGAGATTTGGAGTCTCGTTTGTAGCATTGCTGCTGTGACTGGCTTATAGGTAAAAATTAAAATTTTATATTTTATCTTGGCTTCTCAAATACGTTGAGAATTTTTTGTTTTGAAAAAAATGTGGATAAGGTACTTTGTATTATAAACTATTTGAAAAGTGAGAATTTACTTGAAAGTACGTTCAGGAGTGAGCAAGTCCTACTTTGTAAACCTACATTAATTCATCTTCTTTTTGAAATATTTTTAATTTAAAGGAGAGAAAGGCGTAAAGTGGGAAGCTCACTACAACTGTAAGGTAGGGTTTTATTTGGGTATCTGATCTATTTTAAAGATAAAAAGCTGCCATTGAATAACCTGTACAAGGTATGGGAATGATAGGAGACTATGGAGAAGTAGGCTAATTTTTTTATTTCATTTTGGGGCTAGGTGGTATGATGGTTAAAAAGTTTTAAATTTCTGTCCAAAGAAACATTTTAAGACTCTTTGACAAAAGAGTCCAATAATCTATATTAACGTTACTATTTATTTTGTTTGCAACGGGGACATCCTTCTACTTGTTATAAAATAAAATTGGATTCTCACCTTATTTACTAACGGTGTAGTTTGTTTTTACTGAAAACGTATGCATTTTCTTTCCATTTAATGCATTTTTTTAAATGCTGGAGAGCGTACTCTGTCACAAGGATACAGTTCCATTTATAAAAGCTAAATTGGCCTCACTTTTGAAGTTCAGTGTCCGGAGCTGCCTGCTGCAGCATTTAGGACAAGATTGTCGGGATGTTGATGATCGCAATTATTTACATGGACAGAGTTGTAGGAATTTTCAGGAAATTTTGCAAAGAGCTGGCTTGCAGTTAATGAGTAAAACTGTACTTTGAGAACCCCTTTAAGCATTGCTTGTAAATGTGATGTGTGCGCACATTAGTGCTCCAACATAAACCCCTCTCACCTTAGCAGCATTATACTGGGTCTTATCAAATAAAGGCTTCTTGGACTTAGACTCATTAACATGAATGAAAACCGTTTTATTTTCCTTTTAGTTTTTCAAGCTAATAACTGTTGTTAACATTGCCGTTGGCTCTTAGCCCAGGTTCCTTAACCTACTTGGCTGTAAACACGAGAAGAAAAGGAACAGAAGAGCGCCAGAGACCAGATGCCGTGACGGAAGTTGCTCGGGGCTGTCGCGCTGAGAAGGAAGGGGTATGAGGAGGTCTACCGCAGCCGTGGAAGATGGGCTTGGGGTATTTTGTAGGTACAGATTTGTAGAGCTAGTCAGGAACTTTTAAGTCCTTGAAGTGCCATTCCTAGCAGGTTTTAACTGTCTCTTAAAGTGTAAAGGTTTTAATGTCTTTAAAACCATGAAGAATTGGTAAATGTAATCTGGAAAAGTTGCAGTAGTCAAGAGACCCTCACTCAAGTCAAAGACTTGGCTGTGAGGGACAGAAAACCTGCTCAAATTAGTTTCAGCCAAAGGGGTTATGGATTGACTTGCTCCTTCCCTCTGAGGCGGTGTTCCCGGATTGAATCTGTTCAGCATCACCCCGTTTGCTTTTGTAGTACCAGTGAGCTCTGGGCCTGTGCCAGACGCAGAATCAGAACTTCTTGGGAAGATACCAGCCGAACTGTCCCTTAGACACGTCCTACATCGTTTTTCTGGGAATTTGGGCAAATGCCAGCTGAGAAGACATCTAGAGTGATGAGAGGGTATGGGGGCTCTCTCTTGGTTCTGCCTCCTTCTGTGTTGTTTTTGACTGATGGGCACAGAGTCTAGGTTTAGGTGTCCACCTCACCCGGTGGTCTACACCTCCTGGAACCAGAGGGATGCGTTACCCGGATAGGTCTAGTCTGGCTCATGCGCAGGTGGTAGGGTGCCCGTGTGGGCATGGGTGAAAGAACAGCTCCCTGCAGGGACATCCGGGGGGGCCGCACCCAGAAGACGGCACAGGGCGGTCAGCTCTTGGATGCCCATGGCGGCTGCATCTGGCCCCAGAGAGAGCAGAGCACCCATGCGGAGTCCGCTGCAGAGCTTTCAAGCAACAGAGCAGAATGGACTGAAATAGAAATGCGCACGAGTTCTATCCCAGAAGGCTCTTCCTTCCCAGCCTGAGCCCTCGGCCTCAGAAGTCCCTGAGGTAACCCTGAGGTTTGGTGGGGGCTCTGCAGCTGTGCCCCACAGTGGGGGTGGGGGGCGGACACAGGCTCTCCCCTCACCCGTCCGAGAGCGTGTTCTAGTTCATGGATGGTGGCATTTCCTGGAGCGCATGGCTACTTGCTGCGGGCATTCTGGAGTTTCTGTTCACCGTGTCCCATAGTCTGTGTTCCAGCAGCGAAGGCAACCTGATGCTGTGGCACAAATCTTCAGATTATATATCAAGGTTTGATTCAAGTTCACAGAACTGGTGGTATCCTCCTCCAGACACAGGATTTCAAGGGCTAGGTACAGCTCTGGTTGTGTACTGTTCCAGCCCAGTTCCCGAAAAATCCAGGGTGACAACTAGAGATTGTAAAATTTTCAAGGGATTGTCTGCGCGAAGAGTCCCCCTGGCTTTGTGGTGAGAGGGACCCCCCCCCACCGGGGTTACCCAGAGCCTGCAGCACCCCCCAACCTGCCCCTGGACACAGCCGGGACCACTGGGACCACCAGCAGGCAGCTTAGGGCCCCTGTCCCCCTCGTCTTTCAGACTTGGATAGGACCTCTGGAGATTGCTTTCTCTGACTCCAGCCCTCTCGTCCACGGTGAGAGGGAGCCTCTCGCTGTGCCCTCTGGAATTCATGGTCCTGTTCCAGCCCCTTGTTTGACAAGCTCCTGTGCCTTCTGGACATGCCTTAGCTTTCTCCCAGGACACTTCCTGTCAGGGTCGAGCGGGGCAGGTGTCCCACACTTTGTCTGCCTCCCCCCCCCCCGCTTGTAGGCATTTCGTACCCCTGGGCTCAGACCCGGTGGGGACTTCAGCTCCCGGCTTGCTCATATCATGCAGTGGGGTTCGTTTCAACACAGGGCAAAAACACCAGTGCAGGGCAGCATTGTCCTACTGGTCTGTCCCCTGCGCCCCACAGCCCTGCTTCACGGTTGCTGTAACCACGATCACGGGCCCTGAACGCTGCTCCGCAGGCTGCCCATCCCGGTTTTGCACCCCGCCACTCCTAGAGGTCTCCCTGGCTCCCCTCCAGACTCTGCAGTGCCCCAGCCGCGCTCCCTTTCCTCTCCGGACGCTGCGCTCGGCTGCGCGACTTCTCAAGCACCCGAGAGAACATCAGCCTAGCGGCCAAAGGATGGCCACATCCATTCCTCTGTGGATTGGTGATTCTGGAACGCTGTGCTGCTAAGCCTCCCCCCAGCCACCTGTGCACAAGACAGCCCGTTACTCAGGATGTTGCTCGATTTTTTCCTTATTCATTCCCAGCAGCCTACAGACCTGGCCGTGTCTTTCCGATCCTAAAAAACAGGACTTTGGGTCCCCTCTTGTATCCCACAGCTGCTTTCTCACTTTTCCCTTGTGGAAGGCAGAGGAGGGTCCATAAGGCATCCTCTGGACTGAGAAGACACTTCAGTAGCCACAGACAAGCCGCTCCAAGCTGTCGACCCAGAGTTCTGCAGGGTGACTCACGGCGGGGCTTTGCAGGGCTCCACGCGGCGCTCACCGGCCTGGGCTGCCGCCCCCAGCTGTGACAGTGGTGGGCGGGGTGGGGAGATCCCAGGCCCGAGGGAGACCAGGCGGGGCGGAGGGTTGCCAGCGCTCCTGCCCTGGGCATCGGCATCCTCCTGGCTGTTCTCGGCGGGGAGCTGGCCGGCAGCCCCAGGGGCCTTACAGCCTACAACGGCAAGGCCGGCAGGAGTCCCGGGCCTCAGCCCCGCGGAGGCCTGTGCGTCTGCAGAAACTTCTAAGGACTTTCACAGTGAGCCCTTCGTAGTCTTTAAAGGCTAGGAGCCCAGCCAGATGCTTGCCATCACACTCTCTTGTGGGTTCCTTCCTTCTTGAGGTCCCCCAATGTCTTACTGAACTGATGCGAGTAACTGGAATGGGTCTCCCACTGTGTCCTTGCCGCCAGCCCCAGCCTCACCCTCCTGGACATGAGCCTACACGGAGCTCCCCGCTCTCGTCCGGCTAGCACCCCAGGGCCTGGACTTGTCTAACCACCAGGTTCACCCGTAAGAAAGCCTCGGGGATGAGCACCCTGACCCCACTGGCTTCTCAACCGAAGCATCTACAGCTCCTCATCTCGGCGCTGATGGGGAATAAAAGGTCTCCGGTCAACCAGCAAAAGCGTGTAACGCTTCTACCATGTTAGGGGTTGGGAAGGTTGGTACTGTACTCGGCACAAGCTGATGCTCAGAAACGTTCCGGATTCACCCTGCCCTAGGCTCTTGCCGCTCTGACCTCCCAGCCTCCTGACTCCACGCCTGTAACGATGCGGCTGCTTGTGACGGAGAACTCCCAAGTCCTGCAGCCCGAATTCACCTGCCCTGGTTAGATCCAGATCCTGAAGAACATCCGCGCCCACAATGTACTCAGTAACGGGCGACATACACACTAGAGAAGAGCAGGGACGAAGCCTGCCCATCCACAGAGACTGATTTGTCTAACCTTGATTTGTCACCCATAACCATCAGTAGTCTCTTCCTCCCCCACATTTCAAGAGGTTTCCATGGATGAGTGTGTGTTCAGCTTCACTGTCAGAGCCAGTCTGTCTGTCGGTGCGAGACCAATGACTGCTTCATTCTGCATGGGTCCTCCAGTCACCGCCTGTGCACAGGCTGGAGGGCCACTGTGTACCCAGGGGCAGGCGTCCACCCCTGCCGTTCCCCCTTCAGCGGAGGGGGCACTCAGCAATGCGTCGGGCTTTGTTTGAGCCTTCAAGGGAATAAAGCACTTCCCCTTAGACAATAGCTCCCATAGGCTTAGCAAGACCGAACTGGGTGGTTCACATTTTCTGTCGGGGCCCCAAATTTAGATCCGTCCACAGCCATGTACCAGAGACCCCGGGGGGCCCCCTTTCTGCCATTTGATGGTCAGCAGAAGCCTGTGTTACTCCGTATTTTTCAACCCGTCTATTTCCCTCATGGCGCAGGCTTTCCATTTGTTAGGCGAGCCTCCCCTGGGCACGTTGGCCCTCGGGGCAAGGACAGCCGCCAGGGTCCCACGCCACCGCCTGGCCTGGGGCTGACGAAGATGGGTCTTTCCTGCCACAGGGGAGCCGGTGCTCATCCCGGCCTCCCAGCACCTGGCGGGAGTGCCACCTTGCCAGTCAGTGCCACCAGCCACGGCCGGGGGTGCTCGGCCACGGCTGCAGCACAGGATGAGCAGTGACTCGGGCCATTTTTGACACCTCAGACCCTTGTAACATAATACGGTTGCCCCGGTACCCCGTGTCCTGACGCCCGAGCTGCCATGCGCCTTGGCTCTCTGCTTAGAGCGGCTCCTTAGCTGCCCCAGTTCACGGACAGCGGGCTCCCGCCATGGACCTCGGGCTCCCCCACAGTAGGCTCCATCAGTTCCGTGGACAATGGGCTTCCCCACAGACAAGCTCCCCTCACGGACAACTGCCTCCTCCCCCTTGGACAACAGGCTCCCCCGCCACGGACAG